ATAAAAAAAACATTTTCTTATTTTTAATATTATTTTAAAAATCATTTAATAATTAAAATTATTCATATCAAACATCTAAAATTATAAAATACTATACTTAATGATTTCTATAATTAGTCAATTATATAATTTTCAGAATTTCGAAATGTAAAAATTAGACTATTTTTCATAGTTTCAATTTTCAACTAGATAAGTCTTACTTAATAGATTTATAGAAACTTTATATAAGCTTTCGAAGTTTCCAACAAAATAACGATTCTCAAGATCATAATTACATATGTAGATAGCGCCATAGTTTAATCTTATTTAACTATTTATTGAATAAAATCATTTTTAAATTTTGTATAGATAAAGTCTTTAAAAATTTTGAAATTAAAGTCAAATGAAAAGTTTTAAAAAATTAAAATTAATAAACTAAAGTCAAATAAAAACTTAAAGAAATAAAAAAATTAATAAAGCGCGGTTGGGAAGATGAAAGAGAGGAATGAAAAAATTAAACCGTTTACTAATTGAAAAAAAAAAAAAAAGCTCCTAAATGTTAAGAGGCATTTTGCCCGAGTTTCGAGTTTATGTGAGTTTTTTAGAACACTGGATGAAACTCTCTCTCTCTCTCTCTCTCTCTCTCTCTCTCTCACACACACACACACACGCACACACGTATATATAGATATAGAAATGAGTGATCTCTTAAGTATCGGAGCTTAGTTTATACTAAACACTTGAGTAACATGACACATTAAATATATATATATATAAGCGAAATGTCGGTGTTTAGAAGATCAATTCCATATATATATACATACACGGACACATCAATCTTTACATGTTTAAATATATCCTGATAGCCCCATGATATATATACATATATATATATATATATATATATATACACACACACACATTCTAATTTCACGATACGTGAAAGTTACTAACAATTCAAGAATTCTATTTGCAAAGTGTACATCGCAGAGAAAGATATGGATGATGTATCAAGAAAACTGATGAAATGCATCGGTTGTGCGCGTTGAAGAATAAATTTTAATAAATATTTTCTCTCGTTGCCAACGTTTTTTTAGATGAAATAATTCAATATGATATTGAAACACTTTTCATATCTTATCATTTATTGTGCCAGTATCAACTCTTTCACTAAAAATAAATAAATACGGATCCTCTTTAATGTTTTATCTTTTAGATGCAACGGTGGAGCACGCATTATAACTACATCAAGGTAAATGGAAGTGGGAAAAATTGTATAGAAATCAACCTTCCTTCCCTTTATGGGTGTAAAAAAGTTTTGTTTTAGAATTACACTGCTATTATTTAATTATTGAATGATCATTATCAAATATTTAAAAATAACAATTTCTTATTGTTTATATCTTCAATCCCGACATTACAGACTTTAGAAATAAATGGAGATATTGCCGACTCTACATTTATTTTCACAACAAGAAATGCATGCATTAAGACAATGCCGTCCTCACAAAAAAATTTCTTTAAATATAGGACCACGGTCCTTTAGCAACATAGTTTATTCAATCAAGCTATACTGCCAACGAGGATTTGACGTCCTCCTTGATAGCACACTCACAAAATCTCAGATTTGATAGGAGTTGCATCTGTCAATTGCAAGATTCCAGCTGCCACAATTTATATATTTTCGGTTTTATACAATGTGCGTCTGATTATCCATCACGTCATATCTTTTTTCAGTTTAATTAATGGGAAAAACGAATGACAATTATAATAAAGTTAACGTGGATGTGAATGTATAATCTACAAAAGTTTCATTTATTTTTCTTCTTTAATATCTGTCTAATACTTAGAAGAAACATGCATGATATTTTCATCAAAATCTCATATCCAACTCTACTAAATATGTACCCTATATCCTATTAGTGAAAAGTGTCGGGGCATATAAAGGAAAGTCAAGTTGTAAGTGTTACGAACTTTAATTTTCTCACTCTTATGACCAGCTGATTTATGAGTTTCGACGAATCTCTAAAGTTGAATGTTTTCGACATAATAACTAAGTTTCTTTATCAATTGTGACATTTTTCCTTAACATAAATGGTTCTACATGTTAAACCTGGATTTCCTAGTTATAATGTTTCTTTGTCAAATTTATTTTCCTTCCCTTTTAGTAATAAGCACCGGTTTATAACGGTTCCCAACGTTTCGAATGTTTAATGCGATCACAGTTTATCTTAACATCCTCATTTCCTCTACATTAATCTTATAAACATTTTGTCTTTTAACCATCCAAACTCACTATAATGTAAAGCACGACGCATCATAAAGTGACATTTTAACCATACATAGATATTAAAAAATAGCACTCGTCTATTTCGTCAAACTCATTCTAACTCTATACATTACATCTTCTTCTATTCCTATTTGGTTATTAATAATCACGCCCATGTACCCAAAATAATTACTCTTGGAGATAATATGATCATGTATGGTGACTCAACTACTATCCATATTCTAACTACTATCGAGCATTCACGTTTGATGTTGACTCTTTCGTTCTATAAACTTGCAATACGTGTCCATACTTACAGTCTTTCACCAAGAACTCGTATTTCAACTTTCACAGTACAATTTGAGGTTTTGTCCTTGCATATATATCTTCCCTCATTGAACATTCTTGCACATGCAAAATGAAACGAAAGCTTGAGTAAAATTACTGATGCTTTGGAATAGAAAAAAAATGGGAGACTTTTCCAAAGTAGATGCACGGTTGGTTGACAAGTGAATTAATATGAATTCTCAATGCACCGAGTTTACTGGTGTCTTTCAACCGAATGCATGTCCCATCTAAATAAATGTAGTATTGCACCTTTTGATTGCTTTTAGGTTCATGTCAGTGTCGACCTCTGATTAATGCAACGTATCCTAGTACATGAGCAGTTATCGAAAATGACGTGGTGGAAAAAGATTGAATGAAAAAGATGATTGTGTTTTAAATTAACAAATGATAGAGTAACATGTGACATTATGTAATCTCTTATATAAATCTCGATTTCTAGCAAAGTTTATTTATTCAATGGATGTCAGGAGATGAGATTTCTCAAGATAATTTAGGAAAATGGAGATAAATAATGATAAAATAGAATAATACTATTAATAAAGTGTCATTAAAGTTAGGGACTTCCAACCATAATGCCTCCGTGGACTGGCGGTGTGCTCCATTCGTAATAATGCAAAGTCTTGTGCCTCTTGTCTGTGGGATTTTATTTCAAATAAACTGTTATTTTTATATTCTACTATAGTCAATGAAAGTATTTCAATATAGAGGAAATTACACTTAAACCTGATTTTAACATTCAATTTTCATAAATCTTGAATCAAGTTTCATAATACAAAAATCAGGTTTTAATTAAAAATTTTAAAACATTTTTTTTATTTTTATTTTTAATTATATATACTTCCCTACCTATCTACCCCAATCAAACCCTAAAATCAATTCTCAACTCTCATCCCTCTTCTCCCGTCTCTTGCTCTACGGCGGCGACGACGGTCACTCCCAACCCCACCTCCCACGAGCTTCCTGTCTACGCCATTACCTCCATTTCTCCTCTTCTTTACACCTCTCAGCTTCTGACTCAGCTACTCCCGTCAACTCTCTCCATAATCTCCTTTCCATCAATGTTGCGATCCTTTGTTCAATCCCGGCAAGCTCCTTATGCAATCGGGCCTCGAGAAGACGGCGAAGGGTGGTTTGATGGTTTGATTGGAAATATCACTGTCAGATCTGTTGGCTAGTGGGTGGTTCCGACTGGTACGGTGGCCGGAAGTGGAGCGTTACCGAAGTTTGGGTCTATTTTTTGTTGATGATTTTGCGGTTGGGGGTTCTCGTTGGTGCGGTGGTGTGCGAGCGGTTGGGGGGTTTTTGTTGGTGCGGTGGTGTGCGATGGGAATGGTGGTTGCGGGTCTAGAGATTTTTTTGTTGGGGTGGTAGTTACGGTGCGGTGTGGGTTGCGGTGGTGATGGTGGTGCTACATGTGGTTGATTGGGGTGAGGCATTGGTTTTGGTTGTTGGAGTGGTGGTAGTGGTGGCGGTGGCGTCGGACGGCCATGGTGGTGGCCGTGGCAGTGGGTGTGGGTGTTTGTAACCAATTATTTGGTTGCTTGTGACTTTTAAAATTTTAATTTGTGACCGATGAGCAAACTGTGACCTATAATATT